GAAGAAGAAGAAGAAGAAGAAGAAGAAGAAGAAGAAGAAGAAGAAGAGGGGGAGGAGGAGGAGGAGGAGGAAGAAGAAGAGGAAGAAGAAGAAGAAAGAAGAAGGAAGAAGAAGAAAAAGAAGGAAGGAAGGAGGAGGATGAAGGAAGAAGAAAAAGAAGAAAAAGAAGAAAGAAGGAAGGAGGAGGAGGAAGAAGAAGGAGACGAAGAAAAAAGGGAAGAGGAGGAAGAAGGAGAAGGAAGAGGAGGAGGAAGAAGGAGAAGAAGACGGAAGAAGGGGAAGAAGAAGAAGAGGGAGGAGGAGGAGGAGGACTGCATACAGAGGGAGAGCGAGTTGCAGCGTTGCTCCTTGCAAACATTTTGAAGGCTGTGGAGACTCTCAGGGTGTGTGTCTGTGTGTGTGTGAAGGCAGAGACAGCACCGATAACTATCTCCCGATCAAATTTCGCCCTTTGGCACAGAGAGCACATCTGCAAACAGACGGCCAGATGCTGAGCACACAGTCCTTTGTGTGCACCAATAGAGAACAAAGGCTGGCTGGAAAAATAAGGCAAATTTTTTTTTTTCTCCCTTTGAACCTACGAGGTGGTCAGAGGATGTCCCAAAGAGAGAAGGCTGCGTTTTGCTGAGCTTCGGGCTTTCCTGCGGATTATTGGCCGTTTTCTGTGCCAAGCCTAGAGAATGTGTGCTGATTCCCCCCCCCCTCCCGATCCCCCGTCCCCTGAATGTCAACTTTGCTTGCTGGGATAACGGCCTGCATCAAGTTCTCCCCTGCTTCAACCGCTGCTTTGGCGTGGAAATATTTTATCAGTGGGGGGTGTGATAGCAGCTCGTTTGAAAACGGGGATTAGTTTATCTCAACTTTAAGGGGGAAAGGAATGCTTGTGTACATGCACACTGGCACACCCACAAACGTGACGTGCTGCAGGCCAAGTCACACAGCCTCTTCTCAAGACCTACGTTTGATTTCCTAAAATAGATGAAAGGAAATAACCAACTCCGTGAAAAGATGCTTCCACAGAGCAATCATCAAAAGGGGCTCTTCAAAGCTCGGCGTGCAACTGACCACGTTTGTCTCCTTCAACCATCTGGAATTTTCTCTTACCTGGACATCATCATCTTTCAAACCTTCAGGATATTCCGCCACGCTGACTTCCAGCTTTTCCTTCCCCTTGTGTTTTTTCATCGTCAAGCTGTCCACAACCCAGAACATAACAGCCTTAAAAGGAGAGGGAGGAAAACCAGAAAGAAATGTTTGTACGGTAGACCAGTGCATCTCAACCTTAGCCATTTTTTCAGATGGGTGGACTTCAACTCCCAGAATTCCCCAGGCAGGAAGACTTCGGCTATTCCCTGAGGCCCAGGAAGGCAAAAAATGGAAGGGGATGGCGCAGCACCCTCCCACACTCCATTTTTGCCTTCCTGGGCCCCAGGGAAGCTTCCTGGGAGCAAAAACACCCCCCCAGGAGACTTCTGTGAGGCCCAGAAGGCCCAAAAATGGGGGGGGGGTTGCTGCCAAAAAAAAGAAGCCATGCCCACCCAGTCACATGACCATGCCCATCTAGTCATGCCCATCTAGCCATACCCACAGAATCAGTTGTTAAAAAATTTGAATCCCACCCCTAGTGGACTTCAACTCCCAGAATTCCCCGGGCAGCCACACTTTATGAAGCAAGACAGAAAACTACAGGCAATCTAACCATTCAAAGTTAGAACAGCACTGAAAGAAGTGACTTACAACCAATTTTCACACTTATGACCGTTATAGCATCCCGATGGTCATGTGATCAAAATCTGGTGCTTGGTAACAGGTCCCTATTTATGACAGTTGCACAGTGTCCCAGGGATCACGTGATCCCTGTTTTGTGACCTGACATGCAAAATCTAGAGGGAAACCAGATTCACTTCACAACTGTGTTACCAACTTAACAACTGCAATAATTCACTTAACAACTGTGGCAAGAAAGGTCATAAAATGGGGCAAAACTGACTTAGCCGTGGTCTTGCTTAGCAACAGAAATTTTGGCCTCAGTTGTGGTCGTAAGTCGAGGATTACTTGTTTTTAAAGAGACAAAAATATACACCAATGGGGCTCAATCCATCCCTATATTTTGCAGACATTTGCAGACATTTATTGGGATCACTGATTTTTTTTAATGCAGGGGTCCCCAAACTTGGTGACTTTAAGACTTGTGGACATAGCTAGCTGGAGAATTCTGGGAGTTGAAGTCCACAAGTCTTAAAGTCACCAGGTTTGGGGACCTCTGTCTTAATGGTTTGCTTTCATTCGGGTGGGTTAGCAAGATTTGGGCTTTTGTAGCTTTTACGTTATACATAACCTACGAGCAGTTACCACTTGCCCGTAGTAATGTTAGGTCCCTGGTCTTCCTATGCTGTTGTGGTTTCTGGCAGCTTAGTTTTAATTTTTTTGTTTTGTTTTGTTTTGTTCTAACTAGTTTAACATCTGAGTAACAGAGGCTCCGCCAACATTTTCTGTTTCCGTTTTTAATGTAATTTGTGTCTTGACAGAACAAGCTAGGGTGTCGGCTTCCTGTTATTTTAATAATAAATTTGTCAATTTCCTGTCCAATAATTTTATACTGTACTGTTGGATGTGGGGGTGGGGGGAGTCATTAGTATCACTATTGCTTAGGATTCTCTTATACAAACTTTCAAAATCTTGCAAAGATTCCTGACTGGGGAATTCTGGGAGCTGTAGTCCACTCAAGCTAGCTGGGGAATTCTGGGAGTTGAAGTCCACATATACTGGCTAGGGAATTCTGGGAAATGAAACATGTCTTAAAGTCCCCAAGATGGAGAAATCTTGCCTTAAACAATTTCTGACAACCTGTTTCAGCCACCTGTCCCATGCCACTTTGGGCTAGTGGTTAAGGTACCAAGCTAGGGACTGAGGGACTGTGAGTTCTAGTCCCACCTTAAGCATGAAAGCCGCCTGGGGGACTTTAAGCCAATTACTAGGAGAAGGAGAGTTCTAGGTCTGCCTTAGCCATGAAAGCCAGCTGAGTGAGCATGGGCCATTCACCAGGAGACTGGGAGTTCTAGTCCCACTTTAGCCAGGAAAGCCAACTGGCTGACTTTCGGCCAGTCCCTCTCTCTCACTCCAGCTCCTTTCAACCTGGTTGTTGTGGGGAAAACAGGAGGAAGATGGTGTGCTGGATACGTCACCTTGAACTATTTGTAATAATAATAAAGGCAGGCTACACATAAATTAATTAAAATGAAATAATGTTCTGCTTTGGCTAAAGACAATTGTCTTCCTCATTGTTTGTTGCTAGGACTGTTTTTGTGTCCCTTCATGTTTCTAATCGGTACCAGAGTTGGTATTCGGCTGGTTCTGACCAGTTCTGGAGAACCAGTAGCGGAAATTTTGAGTAGTTCGGAGAGCCAGCAAATCCCACCTCTGACTGGCCCCGCCCCCATCTGTTCTCCGCCTCCCGAGTCCCAGCTGATTGGCTGGGTCTTCTTTTGTTGCCTTGCATAGGAGAACGGAACTGGAAAGCAGGTTAGTGGGGTGGGGAGGGAATGGAGATTTTACAGCAACCTTCACCTGCCACACCCACCAAGCCACGCCCACCAAGCCGGGCCCACAGAATTGGTAGTAAAAAACGTTGAATCCCAACCACTGATCGGTACACTATGCCGAATTGCTGCTGAATCGGGTGGCTGTATGCATCTAAATTATCTGTAAAGGAGTCATATTTTCCAAATTTTCTGTGCCTTTTGACCGTTGGATGACAAAATAGAAAATCCCACGTCCTTCTCTCTCTCTTCAGCCCAACCCCCACAGGAGATAAAAGGGGTTTTCAGATTCCTTGATGAAGGAAGTGTTTCCTTCCAAATCTTTTACTCACATTGACTATAAAAGGAACCACAAGGATCACCAAGACCAGTTCCAGCTGAGGAGAAGGGATGTAATCCAGGAGGATTTCCTGAAGCTGAGAGAGAGAGAGGGAAAAGAAGAGAGTCAGAGTCCTTTTATGGGATAAAAAAAATCTGGTCTGGGCTCAGGCCTGAATAATATCTGGACAAGAGACCACCAGGAAATCACAGAGCTGTACATTAAATTGGGAAATTGGAAAAAAAAAATAACAGGGAGGAAAGCAATGTCTAACCTCTTCTATAATGACAGATACTCCTTGATTTACAACGGTTATTTTAGTAGCGGATCAAATTTACAGAGGCCCTGAAAAAAATAGCAATAGCAATAGCACTTAGACTTAGATATCGCTTTAGGATGCTTTTACAGCCCTCTCTAAGCAGCTTTACAGAGTCAGCCTCTTGCCCCCAACAATCTGGGTCCTCATTTTACCCACCTCGGAAGGACAGAAGGCTGAGTCAACCTTGAGCAGGTTAGGATCGAACTGCTGGCAGTGGGCAGAGTTTGCCTTGCAATACTGCATTCTAACCACTGTTCCACCATGGCTTGCTCTATCTATCTATCATCTATCTATCTATCTATCTATCTATCTATCTATCTATCTATCTATCTATCTGCTTACCTACCTATCATTGCAATAGCACTTAGGGTTATATACTGCTTCAAGTGTTTCACAGCCCTCTCTAAGCAGTTTTACAGAGTCAGCCTCTTGCCCCCAGCAATCTGGGTCCTCATTTTACCCACCTCGGAAGGACAGAACGCTGAGTCAACCTTGAGCAGGTTAGGATCGAACTACTGGCAGTGGGCAGAGTTTGCCTTGCAATACTGCATTCTAACCACTGTTCCACCATGGCTTGCTCTATCTATCTATCTATCTATCTATCTATCTATCTATCTATCTATCT